AATCGAAAGCAACGAGCTTCCTCGGCGAATTTTTACTACGGTCTGTCATAGGAAACGTCGACGCTGCGATTTCAACGCGACGCCATCGCGGAATCCTATTTTTTGCGCGGCTCCTTCGATGTTTGAGCAATGCTCCGCGTTAAAACGATTCTCCCTTCTGTTTGCTCAACTCGATTCCAGTAACGAGTTTCAGTCTCGATAAAAAGGGAACGCGGTTGGCGGGTAATGCGTCACGGATATGAGATTACAACGTCGGAACCTGCATTTCTTGCGCAACCAGACGTCGGTGAGGGAGTCGCTTTATTTCATTTCTGCTGTTATACGGTTAACTCCGAAAACACCCACGAGGGCACACTGGGGAACGAAGTCGATGAAACTTTACAAAAATGTTCATCGTCTCGCGAACTTTGCGAGAGGTAAGGTTCATTGAAAAATAAGAAGGCAATCAGCAGAGTCGTCGCCACCAAGAGTACCTATCCGGTGAAAGCGTCGAGTCACTCCTCGATCTTTAATCTATCTAGGTTTAACTCACCCTATAAAACCATAAAACGTACTTCACCGGCGACCCGGTTCGATATCGAAGAATTAAATCTCAATAAAGAATGGAAGTGGTATTCGGAATGATAAACTTCGATGAGGAGTATCGGAATATAAAACGATATCAAGAATTGATCTCCTAGAGAAGAAATTTTGTTCGCACAATAGCAGAGCGTGAACTGCGCGAAAAAGCGATCGCGCGTCAACGGAATTATCGCGTTGGTGAAATATCGTAGGCGAAGTGTACTGTTAAAACCTGGATAAACCATTTATTCTGAAAAGTATTGTCAACCGTTTAAATGAACTGCTTCGCGCGAAAACCCCGAGATCAACGAATGGAGAGCAGCTTTTCGTTAAGATCTCGCGCGCAACAAATGGGCAAAATAAATTTAAGAAAAAACATGGGATACAGGAATAATTTATTCCATACCTCTATCGTAATCGTCTCGACGGACTCGTTACACGACGAATCTTGGCCCAGATGCAACCGGATTTTGATAATAACGAAACTGCCGGAGGTAACGCGGCATCGCGAAGGATAAAGCGAGCGTCGCGACAATTCGGTAATAACCTCGGTGTCTTAGTTGGTCAAAAGAAGAAAAAGCTCGGCGAGGACGATGCGCGTCGCAAAAAGCCATGAACTGGCACGAAATAGCGCACTCTTCATGGTACAACACTCGGTGGCAGAGCCGCGCATCCATTCTCGTGTGGCCGGACGTCTACTCGGTGTTCTGTTAAAACGTCAAGCGGCCGCTGGGCTGCAATATTGCGTCGTTATTTGATTTCGCAGCAGCGCAATGTTTCGTGCACATCTTTTTCCAACGTCTCGGTAGGAAACGTTATCTCGTGCTTTTTATGAAGCCTACCAGTAGAACCGTAGAATTACCACGCGGTAGCTTTCATTCTGAGTTATAGTAACGCGCGGGACCGTAAGGGGATGAATCGTGGCAGCTGGACGTATGATAAATAGAAAAGGATAAGTCGACGATGTTGACGCGGAAAATATAGTTCCGAGCGATTTCGATAGAGCTCCTCGGTAAAATATGGAGTCGATGCGCGAGTTCGAGAGGTTTACCTTCTTGCGAGAATTTTTCATAAAATACACCACGAGTGTGGATCGATTTTAAGTAAGGATCCATGGAACGAATTGTTCTTTCACCTGCTGGTAATAACAACGTCACGAGCAACCAATCGTAGATACGTTAAGGATGCTAACGTGACAACGTAACGATGAAGGCACCGATGTTTTTTAAATTAACCATTTGGAATTTCAAAAAACTTCTCGGTCGTGTCGAGTAAGTTGCGTTTTCGTATCCTCTTTCGATTTTTCGATTTTTCACGTGAATTTTAATGTTCACAAATTATTTCCACCACTTTCTTCTACCACAAAAAAAGTGACCCTTTTTTTCATATTTCGATGTTCCAAGCCCCTTGAACGGGTATTAACGGGCCGACAGGGGAGAAAAGGGACATCGGGAAGCAGCGTGCTCGAGAAGGCTTAATGCTCCCTACCGGGCTTGTCCCTGTTGATTAGGAATTTTTACCACGGGCACTTTATCTGGCAATTACTCTTTGTTCACGAAGCAAATATTTCACGGAGCGAAGTTTCAAGCGGCCGCGATAAATAAGGGCGGACGAGGCGGCGTGAGGTGGTTGGGCGAGATGAAAAAGCGCGAAAGTTAGATGACACGGTTACTCGTGCCTCTGAAAGTAAGTTAACACGACGAGGACGTAGGAAGCCAGAAATTTTAACGGGCCAGCAGCAACAGCGGCAGCAGCCAGCAGATATCCGCTTTCATGAAAATGAATACGCGACGTCCATTCGCAGCGAACGCGACCGGCCCCCGAACTTTCGGGCTTCATTCGATTTATTTACATTAAAGCACGCCGTGCACATAAATTTACCCCGTTTTTTTTTTTTCTTTCTCGTTATTCGTTTATTTTCGTTCCCCGCGTGCTTTTTCTCGTCCGTTTCCTGTCCGCGTAAATGACGGACGCACGGGCATTAACGAAACGCGCGACGCGGAAACGCAAACACGATATTATTTCCCCTTCGATGCGAAGCTGGTTTAATAATTCAACGACGCAACTAGTAGACCTCGCTGGTTCACGCAAATGAAATCATCGGACTCATCGGTTTAAACTTCGACTGTCTTCCACTGTGCTCTGGGATATGTTGTTCCGTTTGAGGGGCATAGAAACTGAAACTGGTCGATCCTTAATCATCCCCTCGAGTCGAAGGAACATGAATAAGGGCGGTGGTGATTCTTGATCACGAATTCGATTGATGTCCGAGGCTGCGACTGCGAAAGTTTCCATTATCTTTCGCGTGGACCCCGTGGAAAGCACGAAAAAGCCTTCCCTCCGAGTGCGATAAATCTTTCAACGTAGAGGGAGTGGATTCAATGCGCATCCGCCAGTAATTAACCCGTCACGATTCCGACCGAGGGAAAAAAAGTGGTGGGGGGCGAAAAATTGCGCGGACAAACGGGCGTAAATATTAACGGAAAAGCCACGGTGGGGTTGGGATAGGCAGCGGCGAACGGGGGAGCGTTCGGTGTCTGAAAGAGACCCTGAATTCCCCATTGAGTCGACATTATTGCAGGTGCAACGCGAGGTCGTCGGGTCGTCGTCCACAAAAAGCATTAGCGGCCGTGAGGGCGCGAGTAAGGGCTCGCAGAAAGGAGTTCTTTCACCTTTATTAGCAAGTTCTTTCAATCTCGAGTGGTAGCGTGTCTCTTTTGTGCGGCCCTGTACCGGCGTTTGGGGCGTGGGACGAGGAAAGGGCGTCATGTGGCGGTAAGTGGGTGGGGTGTGAGACAAGGGGAAGAGGAGAAACCCCAAAAAAAAGAAAAAAATGAATGGTGATGCACAGATGCGACGGATGTGACGATGCTCCCCGGTCGAAGATGGACTCCGACAGTGTCTGCGTCCGCTATTGCACACGGTGTGTGCCACTCACGTCCGCCTAGCATGATGGTGTGGACGCGAACGAGTTACTTTGAGCGACCAGAGGAGCCTTAGAAGTTAAATGCGACTCGAGTGAAAGCTGATTCGTGACTGCAAGTGCTCGAGTGCCGATATACTTCGCATAGGGATAGGTCTGGGCGTAGTCGACTCGACCCTGAACTCGATTCATTGCTACCAGGATGGTTAAAATTAGGACTGACGCTGTCCGAATATTTCGAGATACGAGAAATGTCGAAATTCAAAACGTACGTATAAAGTCACGGTTTTTTTTTTTTTGGCCTCGTAGCAGTACATTCTTTCCAACGCAAGCCAAAGCGTGTCATTCAGATTTTTCATAAAAATTCGTAAAAATTCCTTCCACCCTGAGCCGAGATTACAATTTTTAATTTCCACAAATCGTGTCCAGCGCAACGAAAACCACAAACGAATATTTTAAAAATTATTCGATTTTCCAGCGGATAACCCAATTTCGTGATTCGTTGTCAACGCGACACTCGCGATATTTTTACGTACCCAATTTCAGCTTACTTGGCGTTCAATTTAAAATTTTGCTACGTGCTTTTTTTCGAGTCGTCAACCAAACCAGCGTATTTTCTGAACGTAAAATCAACTTCTGTATCGGTACGCGTAATACCTTGATGCGTACCATTTGACTTGAAAGCGATCTTGATGGGATGGATTCGATACCAATTTGCACGCGCAATGATAATTTTACGCTTGTCAGGACAGACACAAGGTGTCGTGCGGATGGAACTTCCATCACCCGTCGGTCAATGTTTGATCGGACGTACGTTTCATTGCGATCGTCGGTTAATGACGTAATTAAACCGGTGTACGGACCGCGGGCAAGGAGCGCGACATTAATTAACGGAAACCTGTGTAGTCGGCGTAAAACAAACGAGGCACGGTGTGGCCGTTCATTTTTGTAATGATATGAGAGCGAGAGCGAGAGCGAGAGCGAGAGCGAGAGCGAGAGCGAGAG